AATTTTTCATTCTCAAGGTCACGTGAAGGTCATGGTATTATAGGCCATTGGATTCGTCTTGACCGCAGCTATCACGCTATAATAAAAAAAATATGTAGTCCTATTTAAAAAAGTATCGATGACCTTGAAGGCTCTAAAAATATGACCTTGAGAAAGAAATAAATCTCACCATAATGTGTGTCCCTTCGAACCAAACAATTTCTTCCTCAGGCATTTTCGCGTATCATTAACGGTAACGGAGATATTGCCTTGTAACAGAGTTACTGGGACACTCTGTATATATATATATATATAATTAGGTATACGTTTTAGTTTACAAGATATCATGGATTAGCTAAAATATCATTTGATTATAATTGTAAAATTATTACAATTTGATTAGCAGGTATTTTAAAAAGGTTCTGTTGCGCTGTTAATATAATTTTGCTATACAAAAGAAAGGAAATAGAAAAAGAGAAAAACAAATTTGGATACGCGAATATGTTTTGTGATGATGTTATAACCTTGTAAAGTGTCAGCAACGTGAAGCGGAAGTAAAAATTCATGTTCTATCTGCAGTACACGAAATCTCCAGTGTAAAAATCAAAGCATACGCACTCACCATGGTTTGTAGTTTCGTTTGTAGTAATCACGTACTACAAAGTACGTGTGTATATATATATATATATACATATATGTATATATATCAAACAATGGAAAGTTACTTTTTAAAATTAACTATTTACCGTTATGGAGTCAAAATAGTAACTAGTTACCAATTCTCTAATTACTGATTCTCAAAAGTAATTCGTTACCGTTACCGTTACTTAAAAAGTAATAACAATTCATTACGTTTAATAAGATCTATCAGTATAAACAATTTTGCAATACTTTTTGTTTAAATATAGATGCGGTGCGGATGCAATATAGATTTGTAATTACGTTATAAAAATAACGCGTTACTTCCTTTCCTTAATATATCCGTACAAAACATACTTTACAAAAACTTATATCCTATATATACAGGGTGTTTGAAAATTAGTGATAAGTCACAGGGGAAAAATGGACTGAACTGAGAAGAAAAGTCCTTTACCATTTTGCAATTTTCGCAATAGTTAACAAAATATTAATTTCTAATAATTGCCAAAAATTGGTCTTCAATAATTTTTTACTCAAATACTATCGACTTTACAGAAAAACTGCAAAAGACGAAAATTGTTTATTTTCTTCTCATAGAACTCTACAAATTTTTTCAGAATTTTTTATCAACTTTTTAGCACTGCATTTTCTCATTTTTAACAACATGAGAAAACACAGTATTAAAAAATTCTGAAAAAATTATAAAAAAATTCATAGAATTCTATGAGAAGAAAATAAACAATTTTCGTCTCTTGCAATTTTTCTGTAAAATTGATACTATTTGAGTAAAAAATTATTGAAAACCAATTTTCGGCAATTTTTAGCAATTAATATCTTGTTAACTGTTGCAAAAATTGCAAAATGGTAGAGGACTTTTCTTCTCAGTTTAGTCCATTCTGCATCTGTGCGAAAGATTTATCACTAATTTCCACGTATAAAAGGAGTGAATAAAAAAATATAAAATTTCGAATCAGAATATAATTCAATTTTTTTTAATTCATTGATCATCTCTTATGTAATTATATTTGAAGCACTGTATTTAAAATAATACAATCATATAGAGATATATCTTGATTGAAATTGGAACACATATATAAATGTTGTGCGAAGAACAAATTTAATTTATACTTATTACGAACACTTGAGAAAAAGTTATATTCGCTTGTCAAAACATCAATTCTCGATTGCGCGACGGAACCCTTTAAGAAACTGTTTCAAAGTAAGAGCACGAAGTACACTCTGTACTTGTTCGCTGGCCAGTGGTATCCTCACCGGAAGTGGCACTAAGTTTAATCCCGATTTACGGTCATGGATTACATGGGGAGCCTCGAATCGCATCAGACGTAGAAGCCATGCAGGGGTGAGAGCAGTAGTGAGAACGAGAAACAATGCGTCTCTGAAATACCCTGAGAGTCTTTAGTGCTAGACTGCAGGAATCGTTACAATTAACGTCGAAATAACAAGAAATAATGCATTAAAATTAAAATTGTAACGTTATATTGTATAATTATATATTAAAAATATATGTAAGAATTAAAAATATGCAGGCATTTTGTTTAAGTACGAGGTCATTTTAGAAAATGTGTTAAATATCATGAGATGTTTTACATATTTTCCAAAATGACCTCGTACTTAAACAAGATGCTCAAATATTTCTCACTCTTTGAATGTTTTATATAATAACATACGCGGCGTTCTATCTTTTAAATATGTTTCAAATGGCATTTTATTATGAAAAACTAATAATGTAAAGCCCAAAAGTAGCACGTGCTAATAATCGTAAAAAGAGAAAGACATAGTAGCAACCGCAATAGAAATGCACTCTCGTGAGAGGGACAGCTGTATTAAAGAGGCTGCTCTTTAAAATATTAGCGTACTGATTTATTCAATGCACATAATCATACAAAGTAAAAAAAAAGATAGAATTAGCGTACACATACGCACGCGACACGAGTCGCCAAGGAAATTACAAGAAATTTCCTACATTTATTGGTCCTTCGAGCCGGATGCTCTCGAACATTCGAGAGTGATATCATTAATTGCCGTATTCGGCATTAACTTGTGTTTCGTGGCAAAACACAATTGCACGAAAATTCATAACATTCGAGTAGTATACTCGGAAACGTGAGCAACAATCGTGGTTTTCGAGATAAGCATACTTCTCTAGCCAGCAACAAGGTGGCTAAACCACGCATCGACATATTGGGCTAGCGTCGTATGCATGGTACGCCAACTATATTCTACAAAGACGCAGCCATTTTGGATATTCCGCAATCGGACTGTCTCATTGAGGCGAGGTCAAGTAGCAGCAACCAGGAAATCAAACAGAGAGCATTGACAAACCACTTTGAATCCACAACAAGCATCGATCATCCTATCAACGCTCAACGAAATTCATTATTTATTAGAACATTAAGTAACACATGTAAAGATTCGTTCAATATTGTATTGAGCCGTCAGCTACCTGTAAGTTCAGGTTTCATTATTTAGTATAACATATTAAAATGATTCAAACGGAAGCCGAAGCGAAAACGAGGTGAAGATCTATAAAGGCTTTTGCCACAAGATTGCGTACTTACATAGACTCCCAGCAATCTGAGCACGCTACGAAATTTGAATTAGTAGAACGTAAGAAAAAACTATTAAAAGACTTATTCCGGCAGTATGACGAAGTGCAATCGTACATTGAAATGCTTAGATTCAGAATCAGACGACACGAATGTAATCTCAGCACATGCAGTTGAGCGTGCTTGGTTTGAGGAGGCATATTTTCAACTCACGGCGTTATACGATCAGCGGATTAGTCGATTCGAACAAGCGCAAGTCATTCCTCAATCAGTTAGTAGTAGTAATCAAGTTACACACCAAAATAACACAGAGTCACGAATAAAGTTGCCGAGAATTCAATTGCCTGTATTTTCGGGTGCTTATGAAGATTGGTGTACATTTCATGATTCGTTCGATAAACTGATTCATGCTAACGCGAGTTTATCAGCAACTCAAAAATTTCATTGCTTGCGATCTTCATAAGGATAAGGCTGCCGAAATGATTAAATCCTTTGATATCACAGCTGATAACTATTCGGAAGCATGGAAATTACTCAATGAGCGCTTTGACAATAAGAAACATAGTACAAACGCATGTTAAGGCCATGTTTGAGATTCCTCCAATTCACAAGGAAAATTATACTGCTTTGCGAAATTTGCTTGACAACTTACTCAAACATTTCAGAGCGCTTAGGGCCCTTCAAAGGCCAATAGATTCTTGGGACGACATGATGATCCACTTGGTAATAGCTAAGCTTGACTCTTCCACAATCAAAGAATGGCAGACCAGCCGTACAGACAATCAGATATCCACGTTCAAGGAGCTTACCGACTTCTTAGCATAACGGTGTGAAGCTCTAGAAGCAACTTTTGGAAAATCATCAATTCGATCAAACTCAGAGGTGGCGAACAGTTCTCAGAAGGCCAAAAATCCCAGTTCACATGTAAGCACTTCGAGTCAGGTTTGTATCCATTGCAAAAATAATCATTTCTTATTTCAATGTGACTCATTTCGTAAATTGCCTGCTGAGAAACGTTTCGAAATTGTAAAGACCGTGCATCTATGCATCAATTGTTTAAGGGCTAAGGGACATCAGGCAAAGGACTGCATAGCTGATTCTTGTAGAAAGTGTGGGAAAGCACACAATACGTTATTGCATTTTGATTCAAACAAGACTAGTGCTTCGAATACAAAGACTCAACCTTCATGTCCTCTTGAATTAGCTAGCGCATCCGTATCAGAGTCTCCACCTTCGGTAGTTACTCAATGCACTTAAATTAATAGCGCATTCAAGGTCTTTCTCTCAACCGCTATAGTCAAAGTATACGACTGTCAAGGATAGCCTCATGGCTGCAGAGTGTTATTAGATAGTGGTTTGCAATTGAATTTTATTACACAAAAGCTAGCAAATAAATTACGGCTTAACCGTCGTGCATTAAACATGTCGATATCTGGAGTAGCAGAGGGAACATTCGAGTCCAAGGAAGTAGTCAATATCAGTTTTCGGTCTCGAACAAATAAGTATACTAATCAGCTTGATTGTATAGTACTTCCTAAAATTACGCAGGACTTGCCGCAGGAATTTTGTCCGATGGACAAAATCGGAATTTAGAATTCCATCGAATGTTATCCTTGCTGATCCTAGTTTCAACATTCCCAGTGAAATTGATTTGCTTATAGGGGCTCAAATGTTTTGGCAGCTCATTTGTGTGGGCTAAATTAAATCGTGCAAGGCGCATCCCACCCTACAAAAAACTAAGTTAGGATGGGTGATTTCTGGTACAATACAAGGACATTTGAGCAACGTTGCGATTGCATCGTGTCATATTTCCTCGGTTAACGAATTAGATAAATCTCTTTCCAGATTTTGGGAAATCGAACACAATGTTTCTTGCAATGAGGTCCAATACTGCTCCTGATGAGCGAAAGTGCGAAATGCATTTTCAGGCAAATGTGTCTCGCAACACAGAAGGCCGTTTCATAGTTAAGCTACCTACGAACGATGACAAAATGCAACAATTGGGCGAGACACACGAAATTGCGAAACGTCGTTTTCTCAGTTTAGAAAAACGTTTGTTATTGCAACCTGATGTATGTGCACAATACAGAAAGTTTATGCAAGAGTATATCGACTTAAATCACATGCGCCGAACAAAACCTTCGGTAAATCACGAAATAGCCTATTACATGCCTCATCACTCGGTTTTTGAAGAAACTAGCACTACAACGAAGCTAAGAGTAGTTTTTGACGCATCATGCAAAAGCACATCAGGACTGTCATTGAACGATTCATTGTTAGTTGGGCTAACCATTCAAGAGGACTTATTTTCGATCTTACTTCGCTTTCGAATATTTCCATATGCAATGACCGCCGATATAACTAATAATAAGATGTATCGGTAGATATGTTTGCATGATTCTCAAAGGTCTTTACAGCGTATTTTTTGGCGTGACTCTCCGCAAAATGAGTTAGGGACTTACGAGCTGCTTACTCTTACATATGGCACTGCTCCAGCCTCATTTCTTGCCATCAGGACCATACGAAAGCTCGCTGAGGATGAAATGAATTCTTTTCCTATCGGCTCAAAAATAATATTGCGTGATTTCTATGTAGACGACCTACTTACAGGTGCATCCACATTCTCGGAGGCATTGGAAATAAAAATACAAACGGTCGAATTACTCACAAAGAGAGGTTTCGATTTAGTGAAGTGGTCGTCTAATCATGCCGCTCTTCAGGATTCACAAGGATCTCGCAAGAAAAAATTCAGTTGGTAAGGGATCGTAATATTGAGACTAGGGCTTTAGGTGTAGTTTGGAATTGTGAAGCAGATGTTTTCAAATTTGAAGGTGTTGGACAGCATCCATCATTGGAAAGGCCTACTAAACGTAGCATATTATCTCGAGTAGTTTTAATCTTTGATTCCTTAGGATTGTTAGGACCATCGGTGGTAATTGCTAAGATTATGATGTAAGATTTATGGCGCGCTAAGGTCGATTGGGATGAGTCTATTTTGAACGAATTGCATACACTTTGGATAGAATATGAACGTAAGTTACAAGTTCTTAGTAATATTGAGATAACCCGTAAGGTGGTCACATTTAATAAGATACAATTCAAGGAAATTCATGGCTTTTGGATGCAAGTGAATAGGCTTATGGCGCATGTATTTATCTACGGTCCATTTTTGATGATGGTCACGTTGAGGTTCATTTATTATGTTTCAAATCCAGAGTGGCCCCTCTCAAAACGTTGTCAATTCCTCGTCTCGAACTGTGTGGCGCATTATTATTAGCACAGTTAACGCAAAAGGTGTTGATGTGCTTGCCGTTTGCGGTCGATGGCGTCCATCTATGGATGGATTCGACTATTGTAACATGCTGGATACGATCATGCAGTCGTCAGTGGTCGCAATTTGTTGCAAATCGCATTGCAGAAATTCAGCGTCTTATAAATATTGATAGTTGGAAACATGTTCCCAGCCAAGATAATCCTGCTGATTCGCTTTCCAGAGGCATTATGCCAGACATGTTGCATGAATCGGCCATGTGGTGGACTAGCCCGCCCTGGTTGAAGTTAGACGAAAACAACTGGCCCTCTGAGAATTTTTCTGCATCAAATATGGAATTATCCGAAGGAAGAAGTATAGCTTTGATAACTGAAACAGAAGCTGAACAGCAATCTGATATTTTTGAGCGATTCTCGAAGTTGTCACGCATTGTGCGCGTTATTGCGTTTTGTCAGAGGTTTATACGGAATTCTAGAATGCACAAAGTGCATGAGTCACATTCAGATAATAAAAGTATATTAGTTCCACCATTATATATATATATATATATACTCATACGCAAAAAAAA